TGAAACGCATCGACCTTTTTTTTTTTTTGGTTTTGCAAGGTACGACAGGCAGGTGGTCGACGCGTTTTGAAACGCATCGACCTTTTTTTTTTTTTTGGTTTCGCACAATCAATCAATCAATCGGTCGACCGATTGATTGTTTGATTGATTGATTGATCGAATGGTTCACAACACTGACAAAAAAAAAAAAAAAAAAGGGCCGACGCGTTTCGCCTGTCTCCATGCGTACGACAAGGAACACAAGTTTGTATCAGAGATATGAGCAGAGGAGGAGGAGGAGGAGGAGGAGGTGGCGGTTGAAGAAGAGGAGGACCAAGAAAAGGATGAGGAAGAAAAGGAGGAGGAGGAAGAGGCCGGCATCAAACGAGGACGAGGAAGAGGAGGAGGAGAAGAAGAAAAGGTGGAGGAGGAGGAGGATCAAGAAAAGGAGGAGGAAGCAAAGGAGGAGGAGGAAGAAAAGGAGGAGGAGGCCGACATCAAACGAGGACGAGGAAGAGAAGGAGAAGGAGAAGAACAAAAGGAGGAGGAGGAGGAGGAGGAGAGGAGGAGAAGAAGAGAAGGAGGAAGAAGAAGAAGAAGCGAGGAAGAAGAGGAGGAGGAGGAAGAAGAAGAAGAAGTGAGGAAGAAGAGGAGGAGGAGGACGTGGTAGTTGAAGAAGTGGACGAGGAGGAATGAGGACGACAGCGCTCGTGCGCGCGCGCACGCGCGCGCGAGAGAGAGAGAGAGAGAGAGAGACAGAGAGAGAAAGGGAGAGACAGACCGACAGACAAACAGACAGAGAGAGGTACGACAGGTAGGTGGTCGACGCGTTTCAACGCGTCGACCTTTTTTTTTTTTGTTTCGCACAATCAATCAATCAATCAATCAATCGGTCGACCGATTGATCGATTGATCAATTGATTGATTGATTGATTGATTGATTGATTGATTGATTGATTGACCGAATGGTCCACAACACCGACAAAAAAAAAAAGAAAAAAAAAAGGCCGACGTGTTTCGCCTATCTCCATGCGTACGACAGTGAACACAAGTGTGTATCAAAGATACGAGCAGAGGAGGAGGAGGAGGAGGAGGAGGACGAGGTGGTGGTTGAAGAAGAGAGGAGGACCAAGAAAAGGATGACGAAGAAAAGGAGGAGGAGGAGGAGGCCGACAACAAACGAGGACGAGAAGAGGAGGAGGAGGAGAAGAAAAGGTGGAGAAGGAGGACGAAGGGTAGAGGGAGGATAGGGAGGGGAGAAGGAGAAGAAGAATAGGAGGAAGAAAAAGAAGAAGCGAGGAAGAAGAGGAGGAGGAGGAAGAAGAAGCGAGGAAGAAGAGGAGGAGGAGGAGCACGTGGTTGAAGAAGTGGACGAGCAGGAATGAGGACGACAGGGGGGAATGAGGAAGAAGAGAGAGAGAGAGAGAGAGAGAGAGAGAGAGGAAAAGGATGAGGAGGAGGGGAGGAGAAGAAGAGGAGGAAGAAGATGAAGAAACGACGAAGAATGAGGAGGAGGACAAGGACGAGGAGGATGGAGGAGCATGAGGGGAGGAAGAGGGGATGAGGACTCACCTGGCGCATGCGGCGACGACGCGTGGTGGCTGCTCGGTCCCTTGGAGTTCGGCAACGGCAACGCCGAACTCCTTCGACCGGATCGTTTGCAGTTGGGCTGGGTGTGGTCCACTGCCCTCGACCGAATTCGAAATTCAAAATGGCTCGATCTGGGCCGTGGATCTCACAGATCCGACGGCCCAGACCGGACCTTTTTGTTTTTCGATTGTGGAGGCCTTGCTGGCCTCCAAAAAACAGGCCTGTCATCCACCAGGTGTGCCACCTCCAGCCACAAACCCCTGTGCCCCCCCCACCCCGAAAACTACCCCCCCCTATTTTCTGTGGACTGTCGGACAGGGGGGCCCCGGTGGACGCTTGGGCCGGTTGTCCGGTCGTACATCCCGGACAGTGAGGGGGGTCTCGGACGTCCGATCCGGTAGCACAGCTATATGCCCATTTTGCGGCCATGGGCGCTATACTGAATGCATGCTCGTTTGTGGTGACCGTTCTTCCTTCATTTTGGCTTGTAATCGACATGCCATTTGTCGGGGGTGTATGGTGGGCATGCTCAATGCCAGCCGTTGTGGCAATTGTTGCGCTGAGAATGCTCAGCTAGCTCTTCCATGTGTTCATCCATGTCATCCTTACAATGCATGTCCTCTCTGTCATCAAGGAGAGACTCATTCTTGAGCTTTTTCTTATCCTCTTTTGCCTTCATCTTCACTCAACACTCCGTACTTTCCCTTACTTTCCCTTTATCGTTCTTTGTTTGTCTGCTCTCCATCTCTCCTCCCTGTGTTTATCCCCTCCCCCTTCACTCTGCCTCTTTCTCACAATGTACAAGTGGGTCGTTAGGATAGACTGGTACGAGAAAGAAAGAAAGGAGGGACCGAGGAGATGGAAGGAAGAAGGAAGGGAGAGTAAGCCAAACGAAGGGTGCCTGCTAGAGAGGGCAAGAGCGGACAAAAGGGGACACAACAACCGTTTACGAGGTGCTAGAGAGCGTTTGTGAGAGAAGTGGAGCTTCCGAACTCGTGCGAGCGGGCTGCTGTACAGCTGGGTGCAAAAGAGCGGATCACAACGAGGCGCGAAGGCGTGCGAACCAGCGCGAGAGAGAGAGTTCAGCGCGTGCGAGATGGGGGGGAAACGGTTGCGGGTAAAGGCGACCCTAAGTTTTTGTGAACCTAGTCGCGGAAGCGACTAGGTGCAATCGGGTAAGGAAAGAAGACCAGATCATAGGAGTTAACGTGAGAAAACGTGAGAACGAAGACAGAGACGGGAAAGCAGAAGAGGGAAAGATGAGAGAAAGGGAATAGCGTTGGAGAGAAGAGAGAGAACCCCTTCCGTTGATCTTCATCTGCTCGTGTACTGGGGGCGCATGATCCTGCGGTGTACTCACTTGTACTGAAAGCCAGCAAGATCAGTCTTATTGGTAGAAACATTGGGGGAAGGGGGGGGGGGATTCGACAAAAAAAGGAACAAGGAGTACTTCACGACCAAGGTGCGCAGTGCGAGCTAGGCGGCCACTATAACCACCTGAGTTGGCAAGTCTACTTCTGACATACTGAAGGGCGCGTGCGTGGAAGGGATCGAGGGCGCTAAGAATTAGAGTCGTTGGTCATGGTCGAGCGTGCGAGCTTGAGAGGGCGAAGAACGAACAGAGAGTTGGCTATGCTTCACATTCGTACACGTGGAGTAAAGTTGAGTCAAGTCGTAAATGCGAGGTCATAAATGAGTTTCCTCGACCAAAACTACGTTTGTGTGCGCAGAAGTTGCTGGAAGAACAAAATGAGCACGCGAGGGTCAGAGAGAATGTTGAGGGGGAGGAAGGGTGATCGTGGTGTACCACGTGTGAGTAAGTGAAAAAGAGGGACCGTGAAAGCGGTCAGATACATTGTTGATTCATCCAGCGTAAGGGTAGCAGGCAACGAAGACCAGCACCTCGTGAGAGCGAGAGAGAGACGAGTGGGTCGCGGCCTGATTCTCTAACAGTCAAAACTATTAAAGTCGAGAAGAGCGGGGAGGAAGAGAAAGGAGGTTACTATGCTTGAGGGCGAAGGTGTTAGTACTCGAGCACATACGCAATGAGCTCACGGGCACTTCCGCTAATTATCGTAACCGTTTCAAGGCGAACTACAACCTGCAAGGCAAACTCATAGTCGAAAAACAGAGGTGCAAGGCATAACTGTTTAACATGCATCATGAGTGGAGCATGGGATGGGAAGGCGGAGAGACAACAATGGGCCAGATCATGTGCGCAGGTGCATTTATTTAGTCGAAAGCCAATGTAAATGCGAAGCGAGAGAACGAAGGCTTGAAACGTGCACAGTAGGGGAGATGTGAGAAAAGTTGTGCAGAGCCCTGAAGCGTATGAGAGAGAGGGGGAAGAGTTGATGAGTGAGATGGGAGCCGTAGCTAGTGTGTCAGAGTGATGAGACCAAGAAACAGAGAAAACGAAGAAGAGATAGTGGGAGTGGTTCAACGGTAAGTTGAAAAGTGCGCTTGGGTGTGATTTCCCTATCTTAAAGAATACTTATTTAGACAAACAAAAGAGTTTGTTATTATTAATGGAGAAAAGATTGGACATTCTTCTTGTATGTATGATTTTTTGCTCTATTATTTTTACAGCAAGACAACTTATAAGTCATAAAAATATCCTTAACACTCTTGAAGCGTGCAGTGGGTCTCGCGTAACGCTCCCAAGGAGACCCGCTGCCTGGTGTTGAGAACGGCACAGGGGCGGGCCCACGGGGCACTTGGGGCACTTTTTTTTCCGAAACGTGCATTTTTTGGAAACACAAGACTGAATCTCAGGCCGGGTCCAGGGAAGATTCACGACTTTTTTTTTCGGGGTTAGGGGCCAGGGGCTTAACCCGTCGTAGCCATACGGCATGCAAGTGTGAATATCGAACGTTCGGGGTGTGACGCCGAAGATTCGAGATGGTCATGCAAGTGTGAATATCGAATGTTCGGGGTGTGACGCCGAAGATTCGAGATCGTTAGCCGAATTCGTTTGTATCGCACGCCCACCAGTTTCCAGCTCCCGCGTTCGACGGTCTGTGTACCGGCTCCCGCGTTCGACGGTCTGTGTACCGGCTCCCGCGTTCGACAGTTCGTGCGTGGCTCCCGCGTTCGACAGTCCATGCACGTCAGGCAGTTGGCCAGGAGGGAGAGAGAGAGAGGGGGGGAGAGGGAGAGAGAGAGAGAGAGAG